AGCAGGAAAGAGATCACGTATTACAAGAATTCCGCAGTGGAAGAGCACCGATTTTAGTTGCGACCGATGTAGCTGCTAGAGGTTTAGGTAAGTAAAACTCTATTTGTTCGGCTACGCTTTGGTGTAGGTTACACTAGAAAAATTACGGTTAAACTGGGTATTGGCAACACTTATTGGATTAGCCAGTGATGCGTTATTAAAGTGAGGCCAGCCGACAGCTGTGTGTATGTAGCAGTGTGTGATGCATTGGAACTTTTTATTGGTCTCGATTGTATTGTAGAACTATATAAAGTTTACAACATTTTTTATATAGTTTATGCAACTTTTTATTCTGCTATTATGTATATTAAGCAATTTTTTTCTTCTTACTAAATTATTATCTTTTTATTGTTTTTCTTAAATTTCTTTTTACTTTTTAATGTTGTAATCTCATTATTTTTTAACAAATTTAGATTTCTTATTTTTATACAAAAATTAAGAAACATTTTCTCTACATTCATGTTTGATTTATAACTGAACTATTCATGATATTTTTTTTATTGATATATGATTATGAAGGAGTTTTATTAATTTTGATAATAATGTATATAAGATCAGGGTTCTAAAAAAATGCACACAAGCTACCACTAAGTCTGTCTGCTTTTCTTTTTCAGAGGCACAGAGTACCCTAACTCAACGCGGTGTACTGCCAGTATTGGGCAGACACAGTGATTATTTTATTTTCCTTTGCTTATATCTTATCACAATTTCCAAGGATAGATTCATATATTTAACTTCCGTTTTTATTTTCTCATTATTACAGAATAGTAAAATAAATTTTATAATAACATTCAGTACATACATTACATGATATTCAATACACATTAAGTGACATATGAAAGCTAGATCACAAGAATGTGTATTATGTTTAATTATTACTTGTAGTGATATTAAAGAACCAAACGGTTTTCTTTTAAAAGTTTATACATGTAAAATAATTTTAATTATATAATCATGGTAACTCGTAATAACTCGAAATGTGCAATTACTGAATTTTTTATCAAGTGCCTCTAACTTTAAAGAATTGTCATACAATGCCTATCGAAACTAATGCACTCAGGCTTAAACCCTAAATTGCTGCCTCTATCCCAAACCAGACACAACCGCTGTGTCTGTCTAATCTCTAGGCCGCCAGTATTTTACCATAAGAAAGCAACCAGAATTGCCCCACACTTTAAAAACAAACAGGGTCGGTTCTTGCTGATTTCACATCGGAATGTCCAAGCGCAAGGTGGGTGCTTAAATCTGTTTTATTAACTAAATTCTTATGTAGAAATGAATGTCTAATATTTTACCAAAATAACATTATACTTTTTATATCTCAATATATGCGTTTAATTATTTCACATATAGAAATATATTTTCCCTATTTTTTTCTCACTTTCAAACAATTTTGTAATAATATGTATTCAGATGTATGAACACCATAAACGTTGATAAACTTTTATGCTCAAATGCACTATTAAACAAAAAATATGTGAATTTATTCCCTAATCTACAAAGAATTAAAATATATTTTTTATCTGAAAAGAATACATATATATTTATAAAAAAAAGAATATCATATAAAATCATGATTTATTAATATCGACAATTCTGATATTTTTTGTGACATTTTCACAGACGTGGATGATGTGAAATACGTGATAAATTTCGATTACCCATCCTCATCGGAGGACTACATACACAGAATCGGTCGAACCGGGCGTAGACGACAGACCGGAACGGCGTACGCGTTTTTCACGAGCCACAATATGAAGCACGCCGGAGACTTGATAGAGGTGTTACGAGAAGCCGGACAGAATGTCAATCCACGCCTCAGTGAAATGGCGGAAATGGCTAAGGCGGGAAATTTCAGCGGCAGAGGTATCTTTCTATAATAAATTCGAATTTCTCTATCCTAAGAAAAAAACAGGTATTTTAAATTAATAATCTGGCGTTATTCTTGTTTCTGCTATTTGCATCTGCCACGTCACTACATGAAATTATTCATGATATCTTTTATCTTTTATTTGCTTTCTCATTCATATTTATCATTTTGTTCTAAGCACTTAGAATATTAGAAGAATATTCTCTTAGAATAAGAGACTGAAGAAACTGAAAAATTAAGAGAAAAATCTAAAATAGGAAAATTTGATTGTATATTAATGTATATTCACTATCAATTATTTCGTAAATTTCTACGTTATTATAAGGTGCAAAACGTTTTGGCACTTCTGGTGGTAACGGCACTGAGAGGGGTAATGGTCGAAGAGGCAATAATGATGGTAGAGGAAGAGGAGGTGCTTCGACAAGAGGAAGAGGTTCTACTCGCGGCGGAAGTTCTTATCAATCTTCTTCGAGTGTTTATTCAGGATCCGATTACAATAATTATAGCACTATGAAACAAAGTTCTTCTTTGGGTCAGCAAAGCACGGCATATGGATATAGCACGCAGAGAAGCTATGGACAGGGAAGTATGCCTCAAAATTACGGGGGTGGCGATAACTATGGAAGTGGTTATCCATACAGAGGCACAACTTATTAATCGCGTTTTTACACGATCGATAGCATGTAATAATCTTTTCAATGATGTATGAAATGTGTCATGTTTAGTTATAGTAAATTTGGTTGGATGCGCACAGATTAAAACCTGTCGTTGTCTGACATAAAAGTTTTAATAATAATAAGAAAAATCACAGAAAACAAGGAAAATAAATTACGCGGCATAAAGAAAACATCTATATGATAGTAATTATCACACTATACTATCAAGTGAATAATAGTCGATTAATGTTTGTAAGTCGACGAGTTATTTGTCGATCTATCTGTTTGATAATGTATTTGTTACATGTAGTGTGTCCATCCATTTGCATATTTAACGCAGTAAGTAAAGCTAAAGAAGAAAGCCTTTGACACAATTTTCATGCATTTGCAGCTAACTTTACAAATCAATATTTAACAAGAATAGAAGAGAATATGAGTTCCTACATAATATTGGAGTGCAATCACTCAAAAGTCAAAGTGTTTATTCTTTCTTTGTTTAACAAATTATTTTATATTCTATTTTACACATGCAGTAGATAAGAATTTTATTTATAAATTTTATGAAACGTTACACAGAAAATTACTGCAAGTAATATATACATTATTACTGATTGTGTAATTATTTTGTTTATATCATATTTTATTGATTGATCTTAATAAGTAAGTAATCATTTTATTACATGCAACATATAGAAAATGAAGAGAAAGTTGTGTGAGTTGGAGATGTTTGCATCACATATAGTTGTGTGCAATACTTGACCAAAGATGTTTATAAAGTAATTTAATATTGTAAAGTATGTTTAACTATTACTACTTTTATGTTTTACTATTACAGTATTATAGTTTTGTTGTTATTATCTTTTAATAGTAATAGTGATCTTTAAAAGAATCTGTTTCAAAAAACGAAGATTAAAGATTATTAATTTTATTTAATTTCTACAGCTTAGTAGTGCTATTCTTAACATTTTATTTTAATTACTTACTTAAATTCTTGAATAAAAATAATGTTTAATGTACCAAGATTTTTTAGTATCGATATTAAACAATTGCCGTTGTTACATGCCATTAAAAAATGGCTAAGGAAATGTGATATTTGTCAATGAATCTGCGGAAAAAAATGCGATTGACACTATGTATATGAATATTGATTTCTTTTGTTTTAATGGAGAAATATGAATGCTCTGTGACTATATCTAGTCTTGTAGCAAATTTGATTGACTGTATTAGTAAGCATAATAAATGCTAAAAGCTGTCATAAATAAAATAATATAAAGATGTATATGCATAATACATAATTTAATAGAAAATGCTTAATTTAAATTATCACTTTGTTTGACAGAATATATGTTGGGCATTTTATCATGATTAAAATACTTATAATTGCTTTTATAAGAGGCTATATTTGGCTTTGACTAAATTAATGCACAAGAGGCTTTATAATCTGTATCGGCACTAATATACATGTACAATCAAATTTGCTATTTGATAATCGAATGAATAAATGATTGATTATTTTTAATTATTTGTGATACTGGGATTGACAATTGTTTTTGATAACTGTGATATTAGTACATTGTTTGACGATATTTTGCTGGAGCTTATCAAAAAAAGAAAAAAATTGATATGTATCATTTGTTACATGGTTCTATGTTGCAGGATTAATAAAGTTAACTTTCGCTTTCTTGGAAAAATCTGCAGAATTTTCCCTTGCATTCGCAGCATGAAATACACATTGTCTCTTATGTACTTTCGACACTTCTGTTCTTAGCTAGCTAAATCTTCATAAACCGGGCTCGTTAAAGTGCAAACGATAATGAAGAACAAATACTTGTAAATTTAATATGATTAATAATAGTATAGGAATATATATACATAGGTTTTTGAATCAAGCACAACTTTCTATTCATCGCACTTAGTTCGTCTTGCAATACAAAGCATTGAAAATCGTATTCCTTAATTTATACAGTAGAATCTCTGTTTTTTGGATCTCTCTCTATTTTGAAACTTGTGTAAACTGAAATTCTCTGAATGGTCACGTGATAATGCGAGTGACGAAAGCAGAAGTGAAAGACCTGCGCCGGCAACGATATTTTCATTCTGCGCATATTAAAGTGAGAAGATTGAGGGAGATTTTAGAAGAGGGGGGTTTTACTATATATATCTCTATGCCCCTAATTTTCATTCTGTTGCACGCACATAATCCGCTTCTAGTTTCCTGTATTTCCATTATTCATCAGTGTGTTTGAGACAGTAATTGACTTTCCAATCAGGTAATGTAAAAAAAACGTTCGCATTTATCATGCAAAATACTATTTTTTTTCTCCATGAATCGCACTTATAGCCTATAACTGCAATTCGCGGAGGGACTATTTCTCGTCAAGCGCCATGACGCTGTGACGTCAACATCCTGTTCATACCGTTCTTGCTCTCTTCAGCCAAAGGCCTCCGTACGAAGTAGATCAATCATCAGCTCGGGCCACATTTCAGACTGCTCTCAGTAAACATTAAGGAATCTGTACGGAATATAGCGGCATATTTACCCACTACAATGTAAGTTTTAATCGCGAAATCGACGCGAGATCGTCGTTTCTCATTTTTGTTCGATTATCATTTGGTTTTTCATAACATGTGCTCGGTTAACTCTGTACGCCATTTTGCAAATAGCGAATCCATTGCTTTTTCGCAATCGCGAACGATTGAGGAAATTATAATTTATACTGATTAAAAGTAATGATATTTGTTTTAATTTATTTAAAAGGGCATACGGTGAGCGCGAACGTTCCGATAGGCGAGGTGGTGCACGCGGTGGTGGCGGTCGATTTGGTGGACGCGATGGTGGCGGAGGAGGCAGTAGATTCAGCAGCGGTGGAAATCGAGATAGCAATTTCGGAAATAACAACTTTAAGAATCGACAGCCCGGGGAGCGTTTGCGTAAACCGAGATGGGATATGAGCAGTTTGCCACAATTTAGAAAGGATTTTTATCAACCGCATCCCAACGTAGTAGGACGAAATGTTCATGCGGTCGAGTCTTACCGTTCCGGTAAAGAGATCACCGTAAAGGGGGCCAATGTACCATGTCCCAATATTTTTTTCGAGGAAGGTGGCTTCCCGGACTACGTTCTCAACGAGATTCGCCGACAGGGATTCGGCGAACCGACCGCTATTCAGGCGCAAGGTTGGCCCATTGCTCTATCAGGTCGCGATATGGTCGGTATAGCGCAAACTGGTTCGGGAAAAACGCTGGCGTATATTTTACCAGCCATCGTGCATATAAATAATCAGCCTAGACTGAGCAGAAATGATGGACCAATCGCCCTGATCTTAGCACCAACTCGAGAATTGGCGCAGCAAATTCAACAAGTAGCGTCAGACTTTGGCACGTCTTCGCAAGTGCGAAACACGTGCATCTTTGGTGGCGCCCCGAAAGGTCCACAGGCACGCGATTTAGAACGTGGCGTAGAAATTTGCATCGCCACACCAGGTCGTCTTATAGATTTCTTAGAACGGGGTACCACAAATCTGCGTAGGTGTACTTATCTAGTGCTCGATGAGGCTGATAGGATGCTAGATATGGGCTTTGAGCCACAAATTAGAAAAATTGTAGAACAAATACGTCCCGACCGTCAGACTCTCATGTGGTCGGCGACGTGGCCGAAGGAAGTGCGTAATCTCGCAGAGGAGTTCTTAACAGACTATATACAGATTAACATTGGCTCTCTACAATTGGCTGCCAATCATAATATTTTGCAAATCGTGGATGTGTGCGAGGAATATGAGAAGGAGAGTAAACTTATGAAACTTTTGGAAGAAATTTCAAATGAACCGGAAAATAAGACTATAATATTTGTGGAAACTAAGAGGAAAGTGGATGATATAACAAGGGCCATTAATAGATACGGATGGCAAGCAATTGGCATTCACGGAGACAAAAGCCAACAAGAAAGAGATTATGTACTAAATCGTGAGTGCTATTATTATGGTTCATTCATACATAAAAAGCGAACAATGTCTTTAGTTGTAAATATTTGAAATTATTAAACTATTTTAAAATTATTTTTCTCATTAATGAACTTAGAATTATACAAAAAGAAATATTTTCTACAATATATTTGTAAATTTTTTTTTTAATTATACAATGCATTTGATATTTTCCTTGGAAGAAAAAAGAAACTAAAAATATGGCTATTTCTTATATTTGCTTTTATGTTAAATTACATTGCTTATAAGAGCTGTAATGTGATTTGTAATATGAGAGGTATTGTTTTAGAGTTCCGGAATAGCAGGTCTGCCATCCTAGTGGCTACAGATGTGGCGGCGAGAGGTTTAGGTAAGAATTTGCAAATATATAATGTAAGAGTATGATGTAAGGGTCAGGCTGCGATGGTTATTTCACATTTGTGAAAATCGTGATATTGTATGTGGCAACGGATAACGGCATGTGCCAGACTGATTGACGTTATTTTTTTTTTTATATACAAGTATGGTTGGAGATAATTCAATTACTCTTAAGGAATTTCAGGAATTAACGCTCCATTTTGATTTCACCATTGACATCTTTTCGTTTCGTTGATTTCATTAGCTAATTATTTCTTTTCGCTGACTAATTAATCGAGAATCTCGGTGAGTGCGCATTCGAGCGCACCAAAGTAATTAACATGGTCTTTTCAGCGATATGAATAAAGAAGGAATAAGTTTTAACTATTTTTTTAACTTCTTCTAAGTCTTGACTTCTTCTATTATAGGTTAATATATAGGCGGATTTTGACGTTCTTTTAATATTCCCGCATATGTACGAACGATAACATGTAGTACATAATAGATCTTAAAAGATTGCACGCGCATGTATAAATACAATATAGAAAGAAAAAGAACGTCAAAATATTTCAGCTTTAAGAGTAAGAGAGCCAGGTAAGCGGTTTGTGTAACCAGGTTTATCTCTTCCAATTTGTACTCTCAGATCGAAACAAGTCTTGTCAGTCTGGTATTAACGTGCTGTTCTATGTGTTTTCAGAGGCACATGCGAGTCTGGAGTCTTAGAACTCTGCAGCTAGCTTTGGAAAATGTAATTGAACGGGGCGTGACTGCTGGTCGCCGCCCCCTCGCAGCCAAGCTAACGCTGTGCCTCGACCACCTTGCCACTCGAAAAACACTCTCACTCTGTACCTGCTATGGTCCAAAGTATGGAAAATGATGTCGTGATGTTAGGACGTTTAACGTATATGCAAAAACACGGGAAAAAAAACAAAGTTTATTACCGGTAACATTCGTTAGATTGCAACAATTGCATCAAGTCGCGCTCTGCATTAATTGTGATATTATTCTAAATAGTTATCAATATATATATCCGCGTCTTATTTCGCGAGTTTATCGCAAGAATTTGATATAAGCATGGGTAATTCTTATAACATATGCTCTCTTTGCTAAGTTTTCTATATGTTTACATTATTTATTAATTTGGATCATGTCGCGCGCTAAAATTCTATAACTTAGGACAAATAATTAAAAGCGGACTTAATGATATATGATTACTAATAGTAATTATGGTATTGAAGTGGGAGAGAGTCTACACAATATTGCGGTGCGTAATTCTTGATGCTTAATTATTCGATGGGAGTAGTACATGTGGGGGTTGAGTGGAGAACGCAAGATGCTCACTTGGTGCTCCAACCTCTTCACCGAAGCAATGTACAAGGACCAAATTTCGAAATAGCCAGCACAGATCCATACTTTGGTGCAGGAGAGAAGGGTGTAATGTTGCCTCTCTAAGAATAAAAATGTAGAGCTCGCTAATACGTGAAGCGAGAATTCCATGAGAACCATCTGAGCTCTGATTCCTCTACATTTCCAAAAAAATGTATTTACATTTCCAGCTCTAGTCACAAACAGGTAATTAACATGCAGACTTGCTCTTTGTGGTCAACTTGAGTGTTATGTGCGAATTGCAAATGGAACTAAAGTTATTTTATTGCATCTTTGCGGAACGGTATCATTTATTTAAAGTAATCTTAATGTTTGTTCGTTTTTGATATTTAAATATCATTTTATAACGTCAAACATGTAGAAGAATTACTGAAGAAGACGAGAATAAGCAGGTGACGAATATTTCATTATCCTGTATATCTTGTAATAATTGTTCCAAGATTTGGTGCAGAAAAATTAATAATCTAAGATTACAGATCCCAGATTCTTTAATTCCATTAGCAAAAGGCAATGTTCTGGTAAAATGCTTGAATCAATTCGCTTTATAAGTTAATTGAACCACAAAGGAACAAGCGTCTTCTGCATGCCGCGTTTTTAATTTATCGCATCTCGCAGATGTCGAGGATGTCAAATTTGTGATAAACTTGGACTATCCGTCCAACTCTGAGGACTATGTACACCGTATCGGACGTACGGGTCGGTCGCAGCGTACAGGAACCGCGTACGCCTTTTTCACACCCGGCAATGCGCACAAGGCTAGTGACTTAATCCAAGTTCTAGAAGAGGCTAAGCAAGTTGTCAATCCGAAATTGTACGAGTTAGCCAGAAATCCTGGTGTTTTTAAGAGTAAGTAATACTCATTCTTTTCGTCAAGATTTAAGATGCTTAAAGAGAAAGATCTTTTTTTCACTTTGTTTACATTTGGAAATAACTATAAAAAGATATATAAATTTTGTTTTTTTCTCTTTACTATTTCTAATATTGCTATTTACTATTACTAATTGATGATTAGGACGACGATATGGTGGACGCAGCGGTGGTGGTGGCGGCGGACGAGGATCTGGGGGCCGCGGTGGCGGCTCGCGAGGTTCTCGCGGAGGTCGCGATGCGGGAGATAGAGGAAGATTTGATCGTTCTTCTGGCGGCGCAAGTGATCGTGCTAACAAATGGGCCGGAAGCAGTAGTGGTAGGTTTTAAACAAATCTTTGATCAGTATGTTATTTGTCACTACATCCATATTAAATTATGTGTGACAATACAGATTGATATAATATGTTATAACTTATAAATGTCTGGTATTTGTCTCACATAGGTGGCATGGGCGGAGCTAGCTATGGAAACAGTAAATCGTTTCCCCAAAATAATTTCGGGAGTGGAACTTCGGGCGGTGGCTCCAGCAGCTACAGCCAAAACAATAGCGGATATGGCGGAGGGAGTTATAGGCAACAAAATGGCTATTGATTCTAAATGAGCAAGTAGGTATTTATAATGTAGCAAACAAAAGAGAACGTAGAAAGCAAGAATTATCTAGAAAGGACTTGATTGCCCTGAGAAGACAATAGATTTGTTGTTTACCTGTTTTTATATGTCTTTTTTTGTTTGTAACAGAGAAGGTTCCAGAGGCTCCAGGGAATAATAGCAATCGGCGCAAGTGTGACACCAGCCGACAAGCCCAGAGTCACCCAGAATCGTTCCGCAAGATTTACACTCATACATTCTCATAAGCATTCATCTTCTTTTTCCTTTCCTAGTACATGTAAGATTTCCATTAGCTTATTTAATTAACATCGCAATTAGTTATACAAGTCATGTTTAGGATAGCTCTTTAATATATTTAGGCGATCAATTACATCCTGTAATTGTCACCGAATGATGTAGTATTAAAACAATTCAATCAGCTTGTTGCTGTACATTCAATAAAATAGTATAAGAATGACACTGGAAAGTGTTGAAATTTGCATTACTCTATGTATGATTTTTCTCTTTCCTCTATCTCTCTCTCTCTCACACTCTCACTCACTCTCTCTCTCACTCTCATGCCTTTGTGTATTTTTTATATTTTTACATTTTCAATTACAACATACGTAACAATATTTTTTCAAATTGAAGTAAAAGGGCAAAAAAGAAAAGTTGCATCCAAAATAGATATTTCGGGGAAATGCGAAACTACATAAAAATAAATGATACGATAATGTTTTGAGAAGAGCTTTTTTTTACAATCTGTTTACATAGAGCACTAAAATTGCATCAACTTTTCTTAGTTACATACACAGAGCATATTTTTTAGAAGTTCTTACATAAAAATGTGTAAAATCCGATTTTTGCTCTATGTATAAGTATATACAATGACATATTTTGACGAGTTACTTTACATATACACCTAAGATGGATGAGTCACGTAAGAATGCAAAAGTTAAACGTAATAGTAGACCTACTATGAAGTCATCTTATCTAAAATGACGCTTATGATATATTGCTAATAATTCTATGTCAATATCGAGAATAATTACTCGTTATCGAGTTTCAAGAAAGACAGTCTTCATTGATTGGTTGATCTGGTTTATCGAGAATCATACGATCCGGTCAGAGTTTACTTTTCGATTCCATGCATACTCAGCTGAGTATATGCCTTATCACGCCTGAATGAGACATTTGTTATGTCTGGTAATTATGTTGCCTACTTTTCTACGATAATCGAGTATTTTCAGTTATCGCAATTACGTCTAGCTCGTACTATATATATGTATAAATATATAACATTCTTACTATTACGAGATTTTAGAATAAATATATATATATATATATATATATATTTATTCTAAAATCTCGTAATAGTAAGAATGTTATATATTTATACATATATATAGTACGAGCTAGACGTAATTGCGATAACTGAAAATACTCGATTATCGTAGAAAAGTAGGCAACATAATTACCAGACATAACAAATGTCTCATTCAGGCGTGATAAGGCATATACTCAGCTGAGTATGCATGGAATCGAAAAGTAAACTCTGACCGGATCGTATGATTCTCGATAAACCAGATCAACCAATCAATGAAGACTGTCTTTCTTGAAACTCGATAACGAGTAATTATTCTCGATATTGACATAGAATTATTAGCAATATATCATAAGCGTCATTTTAGATAAGATGACTTCATAGTAGGTCTACTATTACGTTTAACTTTTGCATTCTTACGTGACTCATCCATCTTAGGTGTATATGTAAAGTAACTCGTCAAAATATGTCATTGTATATACTTATACATAGAGCAAAAATCGGATTTTACACATTTTTATGTAAGAACTTCTAAAAAATATGCTCTGTGTATGTAACTAAGAAAAGTTGATGCAATTTTAGTGCTCTATGTAAACAGATTGTAAAAAAAAGCTCTTCTCAAAACATTATCGTATCATTTATTTTTATGTAGTTTCGCATTTCCCCGAAATATCTATTTTGGATGCAACTTTTCTTTTTTGCCCTTTTACTTCAATTTGAAAAAATATTGTTACGTATGTTGTAATTGAAAATGTAAAAATATAAAAAATACACAAAGGCATGAGAGTGAGAGAGAGAGTGAGTGAGAGTGTGAGAGAGAGAGAGATAGAGGAAAGAGAAAAATCATACATAGAGTAATGCAAATTTCAACACTTTCCAGTGTCATTCTTATACTATTTTATTGAATGTACAGCAACAAGCTGATTGAATTGTTTTAATACTACATCATTCGGTGACAATTACAGGATGTAATTGATCGCCTAAATATATTAAAGAGCTATCCTAAACATGACTTGTATAACTAATTGCGATGTTAATTAAATAAGCTAATGGAAATCTTACATGTACTAGGAAAGGAAAAAGAAGATGAATGCTTATGAGAATGTATGAGTGTAAATCTTGCGGAACGATTCTGGGTGACTCTGGGCTTGTCGGCTGGTGTCACACTTGCGCCGATTGCTATTATTCCCTGGAGCCTCTGGAACCTTCTCTGTTACAAACAAAAAAAGACATATAAAAACAGGTAAACAACAAATCTATTGTCTTCTCAGGGCAATCAAGTCCTTTCTAGATAATTCTTGCTTTCTACGTTCTCTTTTGTTTGCTACATTATAAATACCTACTTGCTCATTTAGAATCAATAGCCATTTTGTTGCCTATAACTCCCTCCGCCATATCCGCTATTGTTTTGGCTGTAGCTGCTGGAGCCACCGCCCGAAGTTCCACTCCCGAAATTATTTTGGGGAAACGATTTACTGTTTCCATAGCTAGCTCCGCCCATACCACCTATGTGAGACAAATACCAGACATTTATAAGTTATAACATATTATATCAATCTGTATTGTCACACATAATTTAATATGGATGTAGTGACAAATAACATACTGATCAAAGATTTGTTTAAAACCTACCACTACTGCTTCCGGCCCATTTGTTAGCACGATCACTTGCGCCGCCAGAAGAACGATCAAATCTTCCTCTATCTCCCGCATCGCGACCTCCGCGAGAACCTCGCGAGCCGCCACCGCGGCCCCCAGATCCTCGTCCGCCGCCACCACCACCGCTGCGTCCACCATATCGCCCTCCTAATCACACACCCGGCAATGCGCACAAGGCTAGTGACTTAATCCAAGTTCTAGAAGAGGCTAAGCAAGTTGTCAATCCGAAATTGTACGAGTTAGCCAGAAATCCTGGTGTTTTTAAGAGTAAGTAATACTCATTCTTTTCGTCAAGATTTAAGATGCTTAAAGAGAAAGATCTTTTTTTCACTTTGTTTACATTTGGAAATAACTATAAAAAGATATATAAATTTTGTTTTTTTCTCTTTACTATTTCTAATATTGCTATTTACTATTACTAATTGATGATTAGGAGGGCGATATGGTGGACGCAGCGGTGGTGGTGGCGGCGGACGAGGATCTGGGGGCCGCGGTGGCGGCTCGCGAGGTTCTCGCGGAGGTCGCGATGCGGGAGATAGAGGAAGATTTGATCGTTCTTCTGGCGGCGCAAGTGATCGTGCTAACAAATGGGCCGGAAGCAGTAGTGGTAGGTTTTAAACAAATCTTTGATCAGTATGTTATTTGTCACTACATCCATATTAAATTATGTGTGACAATACAGATTGATATAATATGTTATAACTTATAAATGTCTGGTATTTGTCTCACATAGGTGGCATGGGCGGAGCTAGCTATGGAAACAGTAAATCGTTTCCCCAAAATAATTTCGGGAGTGGAACTTCGGGCGGTGGCTCCAGCAGCTACAGCCAAAACAATAGCGGATATGGCGGAGGGAGTTATAGGCAACAAAATGGCTATTGATTCTAAATGAGCAAGTAGGTATTTATAATGTAGCAAACAAAAGAGAACGTAGAAAGCAAGAATTATCTAGAAAGGACTTGATTGCCCTGAGAAGACAATAGATTTGTTGTTTACCTGTTTTTATATGTCTTTTTTTGTTTGTAACAGAGAAGGTTCCAGAGGCTCCAGGGAATAATAGCAATCGGCGCAAGTGTGACACCAGCCGACAAGCCCAGAGTCACCCAGAATCGTTCCGCAAGATTTACACTCATACATTCTCATAAGCATTCATCTTCTTTTTCCTTTCCTAGTACATGTAAGATTTCCATTAGCTTATTTAATTAACATCGCAATTAGTTATACAAGTCATGTTTAGGATAGCTCTTTAATATATTTAGGCGATCAATTACATCCTGTAATTGTCACCGAATGATGTAGTATTAAAACAATTCAATCAGCTTGTTGCTGTACATTCAATAAAATAGTATAAGAATGACACTGGAAAGTGTTGAAATTTGCATTACTCTATGTATGATTTTTCTCTTTCCTCTATCTCTCTCTCTCTCACACTCTCACTCACTCTCTCTCTCACTCTCATGCCTTTGTGTATTTTTTATATTTTTACATTTTCAATTACAACATACGTAACAATATTTTTTCAAATTGAAGTAAAAGGGCAAAAAAGAAAAGTTGCATCCAAAATAGATATTTCGGGGAAATGCGAAACTACATAAAAATAAATGATACGATAATGTTTTGAGAAGAGCTTTTTTTTACAATCTGTTTACATAGAGCACTAAAATTGCATCAACTTTTCTTAGTTACATACACAGAGCATATTTTTTAGAAGTTCTTACATAAAAATGTGTAAAATCCGATTTTTGCTCTATGTATAAGTATATACAATGACATATTTTGACGAGTTACTTTACATATACACCTAAGATGGATGAGTCACGTAAGAATGCAAAAGTTAAACGTAATAGTAGACCTACTATGAAGTCATCTTATCTAAAATGACGCTTATGATATATTGCTAATAATTCTATGTCAATATCGAGAATAATTACTCGTTATCGAGTTTCAAGAAAGACAGTCTTCATTGATTGGTTGATCTGGTTTATCGAGAATCATACGATCCGGTCAGAGTTTACTTTTCGATTCCATGCATACTCAGCTGAGTATATGCCTTATCACGCCTGAATGAGACATTTGTTATGTCTGGTAATTATGTTGCCTACTTTTCTACGATAATCGAGTATTTTCAGTTATCGCAATTACGTCTAGCTCGTACTATATATATGTATAAATATATAACATTCTTACTATTACGAGATTTTAGAATAAATATATATATATATATATATATATATATACATAAATTCAAATATAAAATAAAACACTTTTCATAACAGTGGTAAAATTAAACGATGTAAATGCAGTTTTCAATAGACGTATTTTTAATTTAAAATTAAGTGATTCAAATGACGTCAACTGTTTTTAAATCAAATTCTCCCATCTACATTACAGAGACATCTACATTACAGAGACCTCAGGACGTAATAATGAAAATCTTCTTGTTTGTCGATATTTTCGGAATAATGCTATTAAAGCATTAAATAAATTAGAAATTGTTCATATATAAATTTAATAATTAAATAATAAATTGTTCATTAGTTTGTAGAGTTATTTTGAATCGTTCATTTTAGAAAAAATAATCTCTAAAATTATATTAAGACTATTCAACAAAATATTATCGAGATCTATAATTTCATTCTATCACTATTCACACTTTATGCTAATGAAATATATAGTTTTTTTCTATACATAAATGTATGTCTACGTAAACAAAAAAATTAAAACTCATTTATATACATGCATACATTAGAAATTAAAATTAGAATGCCAAGCAGGCAATAATGAATATTGAGAAGTTGTGAAACATAAATAGGATCCAGCGTTTCTGCAGATAAAAAACTAGTGATTTATATACGTGAACACGGTTATATTCCAATTGTAATGTAATGCGATAAAATTCGTCTAAAGAATATGATGTGTAATTTGTGATGTATTCGTATTTGTTGAATATTTGACAATCGATTATGTAAATTATATATATATATTCCTAGTATATATATATATATATTGATATTAAGAGGTCACACGATTAATCTTGTCAAATTTGCTCGTCACTAAGAAAAGAAATTTATTGATCAATGCTAGAACTGATATTATTTTAATATGAAATCCCTCTTATGGGGAAAATATATGCGTTATACATATATTATAAATATATGTGTTATACAGCAATGATTATCTTTTACTGTCAAGACAATAGATTGATAAGAATCTTATTTTTTCACGCGTATCATAAAAATTTCAATACATTGAAATACCTACTTTGTAATCTCGGCTCGCGGGGGCGGTATGCGCGACGGATTTTAAAGGCGACGTGTGAAACCGCGACGCGCGCAGTTAGTTTCACGAGGGCATCCGCGACGGTCTCTCTCTCTCTCTCTCTCTTTCTCTTTCATATTGATAAATGTCTCACGTGCATCGCTCGAAGTCATACATTGCCCATATATCGATTCTCATCAGCACTTTCCCTCTCTTCGAGGAGTTCGAGGTTAACTCCCAGCGTCCCAGCTCGGACGTCACTCGCCACGACGCGACGAAGAGAAACGGTAGTTGTGTATCGAGAAGCGCGACGCTTGGTCATCATGACAGAGGAGACTCGCAAAGAGGTCCGCGTTTGGTGTGATGGGTGGTGAGTACCGATGAGGATTTTTTTTCGGGCATCACAGGGTTCGAATAAACGGGAGAATGTAAGAACAAACGCGCTCTGCTTTGTCGCCCGGCCGGCTGATAAAAGTGACTGACACGTGTCGATTCTCGCTCTCGGCACCTCTACGCGCGTAGATTTCATATTATTGTCGTATAGCGTTCGTAAGAACACGAACAATCGATATTACTTCGTCGTTCGAGAGACGTCCTCCGGCGACGTTGTGAGTAAAATAAATTTCTGAGTTAATGTTATTTTTCAAACTTTGCTAGTATATCTCGGTGTGATCGTATAGTTTTATACAATCACATTACAGAGCGAGCGAGCCTTAATAAAAGAGAAAAAAAAGAAAGAATATTCTCATATTCTTCGGTGTTCATTTTTTCTCTAAAGTGTGCACGTAAGAGATAATTTGCGCTTCAAAATCAGGCTCTGTGCATGATTTACACGAGGAATTATCAACGTTTCTGTTCGGAGTCAGCTGCTCACCATGACACTATTTAAAGAATACGTATATCCTTATGTGTGTGTGTGTATGTTCCGGTTTCTTGATAAAATGGTACGCACCATGGGATGGCGACGAATGAATGACAAACAGTCATCAGTAACGCCGAACTTACGCTTCGTTTGATCCTAAACCGTAATATGAACAAAACTTTTTATTCTTTTTACTCTAATATGTTTAAGATATTTTTCGAATAAAAATAACAAAATCTCATACATTTTCATCGATTAAAATGTCAGCAATCAAACCGTTTAAAACGGCAATCGATTAGTAAGAAACATAATTAAAAACACATCAAGCGTGACTACAGTTTCGTATAATATATTCATGGTTTATTCGTCACACTGTTATTCTTTTATGATGGCGCAAGGCCCTCGGAATGCGAGGCCTCGTTTATAGCTCGTTTCATTTATATATAAAGTGATATTTAAATAATTTATACGTAAATGAGTATGATTGGAGTAGTGATGTGCAAAGATGAGTTCATTTGTAGAGTTATAGCTTCGAATATATTTAATTTTAAAATATATTTTTCTATTTCGTCAATTCAAAATTTCGTGTATAACGTTCGTCGAAACTTTATCGGTTTATTCATGAATAAATGACAACGTTTAACTATAATTCCGTAAAAGCGATAGAAAAGACACGTGGAGCATAAAACGACATATTATGTATAATCATGTTTTATCACATCGTCAAGTAATTCATATTTTGCGTTATCATGAATCACATGACTGGTACAATAATGATCAAAGCTATTTTACGTCAAGGTCTATTGATAGAATACTTTTTCAAATTTTATGAAATTGAATTTTATTTGTTCTAGATTGGAAGATTTTTTGCGATGATAAAGGATTCAATTTTCCTTTAATTTTGTCTTGATCTATTTCGCGATTATCGTGTGTTTCGAATTTTTATTATATTATGTTTAATGACTTTTTTTGTTAATATAATTTTTTTGATAAATTGCGAAATAATTTTATTAACTGCATAAATCGTATCATGATTGAAATGTCATTGTGTTGTTGCAGTTACGACATGGTGCATTTCGGGCATGCAAATTCCTTGAGGCAGGCCAAAGCATTAGGAGATTATTTGGTGGTAGGTGTACATAATGATGAAGAGATTACGAGACATAAGGGCCCTCCCGTCTTTACCGAACAAGAAAGGTATATCATTCCGTTGCTTTCTTAAAGGAAATTACATAAGGTGCAATGACTAGTCACGATCTTGATTATCATTCTGAAGTTAGTGATAATGTGTTAATCAATCTTTTAAATTTCACAATTACTTTCTTGAAACACGTAGCACTAGTATAGTGATTAAAGCGTCTTTCACTTAATAACTGTGGATATTTTACAAATCCTATACAATAGTATTTATAATTCTATATCAATTTCTAATTATCATTTTATTCCATATTATATATATTAAGTATTATAATTATTTATGTGGTATTTTTTTTTATTATTTAACATAATGGAAAATATTAAAAAATATTACTTTTTAAATGTGATATTTTATGATGACTGTCTTTTATTTAAACAAAAATGAACAAAGAAAATTGAGAATAACAATATAATATACAAACGTTTTAACATGACATAGTAATTATTAATTATATTAGTGTAACGTTTTCATTTAATTTAATTCACAAATATTTGATTTTATCCTTTTTTCTTAGATTACATTGCTTTTGCAATGTTATGTACTTTTACAAAAAAACGCGCAACATATTTTATTAGAAAACAATGTACGTTTTTTTTGTGCATTGGAAGCATGATTACATAATGATGTATGTTCTCATTTCGACATTGAAAAATATCTGAATCATTGTGAGAAATGTTTACGTGAGTTTCATATTCACCATCGTATGGCAATAAAAAATTAACGAGTTCCAAGCTATAATCTTGTCAACCTCTAACAGGAAAGTTTAGCTGGAACCTTGACATTTTTTAGATCAGTATTTGCATAGAAAAAACTTTGTAGCTGAAGAATGCAATGTAATGTTATTGTAAAGAAAGAAAGAACCTTGTCTTGTCAGCCGTGTTTATATAAGTTACTTTCTCCAATGTTAATTAAGGATTAGATACTACAAGAACATATCATACAAACGCGGATATAATAATTTTGCACATGAAATTCTTAAAATAAAAACTAAAATTATTTGTATAATTTATCTGTCTATCTACAATTCTGTGAATAAAATCATTTATGTATACAACGAAATAGTTAATAGCAATAATTATATAATTAAGACAACGATATTAGCAATTTTATAATTACAAATATTAACGAATGTTAAATTTCTTTTTACTTAGGTACAAAATGGTGCGTGGCATTAAATGGGTGGACGAAGTAGTCGAAGCTGCACCTTACGTCACTACATTAGAAACATTAGACAAGCATAACTGTGATTTTTGTGTTCATGGCGATGACATCACAATGACGGCCGATGGTGTAGATACTTATCATTTCGTCAAGGCAGCCGGTCGTTATAGGTAAACTTTTCGTAAACTTTATCAAGTTGCATACATATTGTTAATACATTAATTTGCTGTTCAATTAAATTTCCATTAAAAGATAATACAATTTTTTTTTTACTAAAAAGAGATGTGATATTTCAGAGAAGTTCAACGGACAGCTGGCGTTTCAACGACCGATCTTGTAGGACGCATGCTGTTAATGACGCGACAGCACTTTCGACAGGGTGACAACGAATACAGCGTCGATAGAGAACCGAGCAAGCGTATGGGTCAGGATAGAACAGCCCGGAGTCCGTGGACCGGCTGTTCGCAATTTTTGCCGACCACGCAGAAAATAATTCAATTCAGCGACGGCAAAAGTCCACAACCGGACGACAAGATTGTGTACGTGGCGGGCGCGTTCGATCTTTTCCATGTGGGGCACTTGGACTTTCTGGAAGTCGCTAAGAAGGAGGGCGACTATCTCATAGTCGGACTGCATACAGATCCAGCCGTTAACCGATACAAGTACGGCAATCATCCCATTATGAATCTTCACGAACGAGTTCTCAGTGTGTTGGCGTGTAAGGTGAGTTGTTTACTCTGGTTTACTCTCATCATTCGGGATATTTAATACGAATTTTCATAAGTAGAATTCAGGTTAAGGTTAACGTATGGCGCATGGCTGTTCGCGTTGAGCGCAACTAAATATTGAACGAAACAACGATAGACAGAGAGAGAAAGAGAGGCAATTGTAGTGCAGGGCCTATCTATCTCTCATTCAACATCCAGTGGCGCTCAACGCGAGTAAGCAAATAACGCACCACGTTGTCGTTCTCGTTCAAACTCTATTCATGACATAAGTCATAACGTAGAAAAATATAAACTAGTATAACATATGGATTTTCTCAATATATGAATATAAAACATGATTTCCGCAATTTCTATAAGACTATAACACATTTTTTTCCAGTAGGAAAGCTTAATAAATCACACTATTATTTTTTAGATAAGTTACATTATATCTGAAAGAGCTCTTTACATCATATTTTCTTTTTTGCATTTACAGTACGTCAATGAAGTTGTAATCGGCGCACCATATGCAGTCACAAGAGATCTAATGGAACATTTCAATGTCTCTGTCGTGTGTCATGGACAAACACCTATAATGCCATGTGAGGATGGTTCAGATCCATACACGGAACCCAAGAGGCAAAATAAATTTAAATTGTTAGATAGCGGTAACGACATGACGACGGAGAAAATAGTTGAAAGAATCATTCTTCACAGGTATGTTTTTACCTTTATATTATATACATATTGGCATGTCTCTTATAAAACTTTCTAAGAGTAATTTCTTTGTGTGCCTCATATATTCTATAAAATCCTCTATTTATAATTTATATATTATACTTTTATAATATAATTTTTATACATCGTATTGATGTATAATTATGTTAACTATGGAAGTTAACTATGAAATTCTTATATGGATTATTTACGTATTGTTTTGATTTGATTAAACAGGAAAATTGAGTTTAACAAGCATATATGTGTTTGTAAAAATTCTGCACTTAATATCTTTATTAAAAAAATCCACCACACTCTATACCCGCCAACATTCACTGCCATGCATTTACGTTTGCAGAAACGGAGTTGTGACCGCGTTTAATAAACATTATGGCGAAGGATAATGTGTGAAATTACGCGAAAAACTTTTGCCCACTAGAGCAGTTCGAATTTTCCATATTTAACGTTTAAATTGCTTCTATTATTATATATATTATAATTATTTGAAGGAGTGTTGTAGAATAACATTACGTTATTGGAGCGGTGATATGCTCTATCGTGATTTGATTATATATCATATTGTCTTTCCTCAGGTTACCATATATGTGTTTCTGTTTATGAAATTGAACACATTTTTAGGATATATTCTTGTAAAAATTCCATTCCTATCTACATCCACAAAATAAGATTTATTGCAAAACTAAAACGTTTTTAATTAGATGGAAAATCTTTATATAATAAGTTTTATTTTGCTTTTTTATCCTCTTAGGCCGAACGAGCTTTATACAGCTATTAAGAATTTCAACAATCGTTGATGGGACAAATCTGGTTGTTTTGTATTCAATTTGCAATAAACGCATGTTTATTTACTTTCCATTATAATTTCTTGTTATTTATTTTTGCTTTTGATGGAATATGCAATTTCGTTTATTTTGCGAAATATTTTCTTGAATTCTATTTTGCTCCATTCTTATTTGCCGTAATACTATATAGCAATCTTTTCCGATGATAATCCAACCTCTACATATCCCAACGAATGCGTTTATTCTTATCACGTGTTGATCTAGCATCTAATTACAGGTTGGAATACGAGGATAGGAATTTAAGAAAGGAGAAAAAAGAGCTTGCCGCTTATGAAGAATTCACGAAGTCTGAGAAAAATGACAAGATTGAATAATTATTTGTTTTGTTGTTCACAAACATTCGCAGTGTGTATATGTGATAATCAGATTTTATAAAGTCAATATGTAAATATGATGTCACACTGACACTTAATTTATTGTTTCAAAATGCCTTACATAGAGTTGAAATAGACATTTATAATTGTTTGAACACGCTAGAAAAATCGATTAGTGACGTGGAGAGATCAGTGTTGATTTTCATTTGTTGCAATATGCAATGAAAAGTGGTATACAACGACAATTGTGAAATCGGACAAATATTTTATATGCAAGGTGTGCCAGAACTATCGTTATTTCTTTCTCTTTTGTGGATTTTTAAACCAATTCCTGAGTCCATATTTCTTTAAACATATTAATATCTATTTAGGATTGCGAGAGTAGGGAGATTAATATGTTATTTTTTTGATTATGCAATATATACATATATATAAGCTTTGAGTAAAATTTTAATTTCAGATTTTGCCAATCAAACATAACATGATACAAGATCCTCTGTGAATCGGTTACTAAATTGCGAGAAATAGAATCCAAGTCTATATCTTTAGTTTTAGACAAGCTTTAGCTGAGTTTTTTAACTATATATCGTAATTATACTTTTATATGACATAAATATAAAATTAATTTTGGAGATATATTTATTGTATCATATCTTAAGGATAGTTTCTCAGTAGATTTCTTTAATAGAAACTTAAATAATTTCATCAGATTTCATTCTAGTCACAGACCTGGAACATAGTTCTGGAACACCCTACATATTTCTCGACATATCTCTAAAGACAAGGTCTTAATGATATATCGTACATTATAATCGCCTTTAAATGTAGATATGCTTAATAATTATTGTCACATGATGTGAATATCGTGAGTGGTCATTGTAAAAACCAAAATCAGATTTTTTAGGTCGAGTTGTTGAATTTCGCTATTTCACAGGTGTAATATTCTCTTTCATTGTATCACAAACTTGTTATCATCCTATCATTTTGTCGTTCTATATCGTCTTTTTTAAGTCTCTCATGTACGCGTTAAAGGACTTATTATTTATGTTCGTACAGAGTTTCGATATTTTTAAGAGATTGCGAATTTCGTTTGAGTTTGTTGGATAATAACGTTTGGTCTTCAAGAATCATTTATTCGTTCTCATCATGGAATATGAAACGTACGCTTTCTTACATTTACGAAATATTTTACGAGTTTTAAATAGCGAAAATATTGGAATGCGACTATGCGTATGCAGGTATTTTTTATTCAGGAATTACGATACAGTCAAAATAAGAGCAGACAAGAAGTTAGATTCGATTTAGTCTAATTAATTGAAAGTTCCTGAGAATTTATAGATGCCTATATATTTCTCGGCGATGCATTTTATTCTGACAGCGATGTGCCGAATTTTACGATTCATAAGACATCTAGCTAGATAGAGAAGTCGACTAACTTTAAGTACCAGGTTTTCTAACGCGAAATTAGAATATATCCAAAAATATCAACGGAGCCAAAGAAGATTAGGTTTAGGATGTACATCGAGTAAACTAAATGTAAATTCAAGCTAGCATATATCGTTGAATTTTAACTGCTTGTATCTAGGGAATGAGAAAAATGCATGGCAGTTTTGTTCGCAAAATTCATTGTGGTGTACAAAGACAGAGAAAATCCGTTTTAGATAAATTACTGAATTCCTTATTTAATATTTTAAAAATTACGACTGATTCGGCCGGGGAGCTTCCAAATAATTAAAATATGATAACTATCAAACTTTCATTAAATAAGGTTTGGTAACAAAGTCAATGATTTGTAGCCCAAAAAATTTCCAATATCTTTTATATATGTATATGAAACACAGGCAAGTTTCTTCACATACAATATGGCGATGATGACATATTAACGCCGATAAATTTTTGGCAATAATTGAATTAGATTATGCAGAAAAAAAATGGTATAGCTCGTGATTTTCTACAGGAGAATCTACACCGAATAAAAATTGTAACGCGTAAAAAAATATATTGTTTCTTTTATTTTATTTTAATTATTTTATTGTAATCTTTTCTTTTATTTTATATAATAAATAATCATTGTACACGGTCACATCTCTACAATAGTCACGCAGTTTCTATAATGTATTACACTTCCTAATTGCCTTCACGAATCGCTAAAGATCAATTACCATGTCCTCAGAATCGCGTTGTCTTATTTCGCACCTTTTTGCTCCCTTTTTTCTTTTTCCATTATTACTATATTAAATACATAACATTTTAATTTTTGTTCATACAGTAAAATATATTTTTTTAGATAAATTTTATGTAGCTCACAACCTATAAAGTTTTATTAAATTTTTATTAATAATAAACACGAACTGTTTTAATCACAATATCCAGTTAATACAATAATTACACACAAGTTACAAAAAATTCTTTTTCGTAAAAATTAAGATTTTTAAAAATTATTCTTTATTTTAAAAGCAAATATGATTCAAAATTTGTCATAAACTTCTATTACTATAAAATATTGTATTATACGACTAAAATATAGATTTTTTTAATATTATGTATTTAGTATTCGCGCTGTTAACAAGTTTGCTGTAAAATACAGAGAACTTTGTCGTATGTATCTATTTACAAGGTGAGATAAATTCGTGCAACCACCCAAAATGTCCCGTCGAGTTTCTTCATCCGGCGAGATTCTTACCCTACATATTATATGAGCGATCAATATAGACCGGCTCGTTTGATCAGGTCACGTGATAGCATTGCACGTTTGAGAGACTCGTCGTAATGAGACTATTTTCTGTATTTGAGCAATATCGATATATCGATGAAACTTTCAACAGAAATCGTATGATGTGCGCGATACTCGGAGAAAATCGTGCATTAAAAATTAGATTATATTGAAATTCTTTGACTCAGAAAGGAAGCATTTAAGTGAAACAATTCAATTTTTCAGTTAAGTCTTTTACTCGTTTAATTGTGCTTAATAATAAAACTCGACTAAATAGTTAAATAATATACTCTATTATTATTATTATATATTTTAT